AGAAGCCGCAAGCACTGCGTTCATAAGTGGAGGGCATATGACTGCTCGACGCGGGACAATCGTAGCGAAATGTCTCTCGCTGTCGCACAAATCGAAGAGCGGTGCCAGCACGTGGATGAAGTTGTAAAACAACATTGCCTCTTGTGGATCTTCTAATGGCCATCTCGGCGTATCCAAGTAGATGCCTGAGATGGCTTCGGCAACATTGTCCACTGGAATCGGAAGGTCTGTTCCACGGGAACTCGCGAGCGCTGCGGCGACTTGAGGGCTCTCCACACCCAGAACAATATCGCTACTGAGGATAGGAGATTCGATACTGTGAGGCCCCGAAAACGATGCGAAAGGCCCCACGGTATCAGACTTCTGGCTGGGTGAGATAGCATCGCTAGGATCCGAGCGAGAGGTGTTCTTCCAATTCCCACTTGAAGATGGACTCAATGCTCGTTTCTTTGAGGGACGCTCCTGATCTATATTGGAAGAAAAGATCCTAAGGGCTGAAGTTGAGTTGGATCTATCCTGATCGGAATAAGACGTTGAGTCATTTGATCGAAATCTCTGTAGAGAAGCAAGGGGTGGTGAAGACTGATTGCTGGCATCGTCGATATCACGTCCAATGTCGAAGTTTTCCAACGTGTCCAGGTTGTTGGAATCATGGATGTTGATGATGTCTGGAGTCTCATCAACAAAACTTAGAGCTCTGGTTGTCTTGACCCATGGTTGGTCTTGAGAGAAATTGTAGTCTCTGTTCTTGGCTTCAATAGCCTTACCAGATCGTATACTTCATGTGGTGAGCAACTAATAGAAGTCAAGGAAAGAAATGGCATCATACCTCGGATTCAGACCATGACGAAATCTCACACTGAAACCTCGAACGCACTCAATATCGCTTTTTCGACAATTGGCACAAGAAGGTTTATCGTTATCACCTATTTCTTCGGATCAGTTTCCATTATTAGAAAGGTAAGTAAGGTATTGCAATACAAGCCACCACCGTTGGTAAAGTTAATGTAACTTACACTTGAGATGCCTATAGAAGTTGACAATCAGAACATATTGCTCCAGAAGACACAACAGAGGGATACAAAACGGGTAATATTTCCTATGTTAGGTAACGAGATAGAGACTCACCTTTGCTTACAGACCTTAGAAACGGCAACTATCAGCTTGCAGCCTCTAGGGCTATCGCAACGGGGCGACTTACTGTACAGGGGTTGAGAGGCCTTCCAGGTGTCTTAGTTGTCGTTGATAGAGACTCTGACATGATTCACAAGGCGACTGTTACCAGGGGACAGCGGGTATCAATAACGAGAAAACGGCCCGTTCCAAAACCAAAACTTTTGATGATGAGGAGGAGAATTGAAGGGTGAGACAAGAAGAGAGGGGATTATGACCCAGAGTTGATGAAAAGGGCAGTTGCCTTTCTTGGTCAAAAAAGGCAGGAGCAGCCCGCAATGAGTGGGCACTACCTACCTATTGAACAGGCGAATCAGCGGCCATCCAATTAGCCCCAAAGTTTAACATCAGACTCTCTGAACGTCACTGGAGAACAGACAGGCTCTCCCCATGGGGCGGGTGATGGTTTCAGTCGGTAATCTGGGGACTGACGCACATCGAGCCTCCCTAGCATGGTCTAGATTCCTTGATCAACCAATCAATCGAGTCCTCGGCCTTGGGGATTCTGGTCTAAATGCCGCTCGTTAGTGTAATCCGGGGGGGCAAGCCGTCAAGGCGTTGAGACTGTGACCATGTTAGTCATTCCACGTTTTTCTGAAAGGGAAATATTCATCCCCTCATTACCATCAGCTACAGATGATGGAGTAGTAAGGAGTATCAAGCCCGAATCCTGGTTTGGTGGTGTGCTTACCTGGGATGTTTGATATATAAGACCTTCGAATATCAGCTGAATTGCTTCTTTTTCCAGATCAGCATCAAACCCCATCTTCTCATTCTTCAAACCTCTCTGGATATCTATAGAGATATTCAGTAACCTTCTAACATCTCTTGATTTCCTTGGTACTCTTCATAGAGAACTGAAGTTTCCCCAAAACTCCTGCACCTCCGCCAACAGAACGTGTTGAACAACTCCAATCGGCACCATGTCCAAGGCTGATACCAAGGAACATCTCGAGCATCTCGAGGATACCGGTTCCCCAAATTCCATTCATGAAGTCAACATTAACATCGATGATCTCGACTCTATCGAGCAGACCGAAACCGGTAAGTTTTCATGGCTGATCAGTATCACTGCTGCCATCGGTGGCATGCTGTTTGGTTATGATACCGGAATTATATCCGCTGTTCTTGTATGTTCTGCCTCTCTCCCTGGCTCTCTTTTGATTTGCTGCCCAGATACTGACGTGGGATACAGGTCTACATCCACCAAGACCTCGGCAAGACTCTTACGTCTCAGGAGAAAGAACTCATTACCTCGATCACCTCCGGTGGTGCTTTTCTGGGTGCCATCTTTGCAGGCTGTTCTGCTGATCGTTACGGACGAAAGGTTGCTATCTATGTGGGCTGTGTCCTCTTCACTGTCGGTGCCATCGTCCAGGCTGCTTCTTTCTCGGTCGCTCAGATGACTGTTGGCCGTCTGATCGTTGGATTCGGCGTTGGCAGTGCTGCAATGATTATACCTCTCTACATTGCCGAGTGTGCACCGAGCAAGTATCGAGGACGTATGATCGGTCTTGATAATATGTCGATCACTGGTGGTCAGCTGGTCAGTTATGGTATTGGGGCAGCCTTTGCTAGTGTCTCATCTGGCTGGCGATACATGGTAGGCGGCGGTGCTATCCCTGCTATCATACTAGCCGCTCTTCTCCCTTTCTGCCCTGAGTCTCCTCGTCAACTCATCTACCATGGGAAGCCAGAAGAGGCGGCGGCAGTCATCCGACGAATCTTTCCCAATGGTACCGAGCAACAGGTTCAGGACAAGATCCGTCATCTCATATACCACGTCAATGAGGCCAAGTCTCTTAACGCTGGCAAGTCTCAGTGGTGGGTGTTCAAGCAGCTCTACGTCAGCCCCGCAAACTTCCGAGCTCTCGTATCTGCCTGTGGACTCATGGCTATCTCTCAGCTCAGCGGCTTCAACTCTCTCATGTACTACTCTCCCTTGTTGTTTTCTCTCGTTGGTTTCTCCAACCCGGTCGCTGTGGGTACCATAATTGCTGCCACAAACTTCATTTTCACCTGGGTCAACCTCATGCTTGTCGACCGTGCCGGCCGCCGAAGAATTTTGATCTGCACAGTTCCTTTCATGGGTCTCGCTCTCGTTGTTGCTGCTGTGTGCTTCAAGTACATCCCCATCAACCATGACTTGTCCCTGGCATCCGATGCCAAGATCGGCTGGCCTGCTATTGTGGTCCTTGTCAGCATGGTTATATTTGTCGGATTCTACTCTTCTGGTATCGGCAACACTGCTTGGCTTTCAAGCGAATTCTTCCCAATGGAGGTCCGAGCTATGGGAACCATGATGCTTACTATGACCTGCTGGGGATCCAACATCATTGTGTCTTCGACATTCCTTACCCAGATGGAAAATACCACCCCCTCTGGTGCTTTTGGTTTCTATGCTGCCATCTGCATCCTTGGCTGGGTTTGCATCTACTTCTGTTACCCTGAAGTTAAGGGCATGACTCTCGAGGATATTCGAGAGATATTCCAGCACGGCTTCGGTGTCCAGCGAGCTCGAGAAATCCAGAAGGAGATGAAGCTTCTCAGGAAATCTACTGCCTCTGATGAGGTCGCCAAGGCTTAGTTGTGGCTGGAAGTATGTAAGACGATTGTATTGGCACCCTTTCGGGACTTGAGGGTTACAGTTGCACAGAAGTTCTTCGAAGGTGGTCTGCTGGGTTCATACACGATTCGGCGTTGGTAAATAGGACACCTAGATAAGACAAACATATATCTGTCAGCACCAAGTATCTCCAAATCTCTCCTTATAAATTGGCCAATAAGCGTTCTATACTCTAAATAAACTGACCGGACGAGCCTATTGGTATCCTAGAGAACTTTGTAAGGCGTTGAACAGACCTTCTCTAAGCTTTAGGCTGTATTTAGACAACTTATGATGAGGTCTCGAAAGTTAGCCTAAAGGTATACTAAAATTATCCGAAGATGCTCTAAAACACGGAACCCAAGGAGGAAATAAAACTCGGGCGGGACCTTAAGCCTGACTGATAAAAAGACTTAGGTAACTTAGTATAAATTTAGGATAAGTTTAGGATACCTTTTGTGGAATTTATTTTGTCACACTAAACTTAGGCCTAGTGTTTTCTTGCTCCCTAAGGCTTACGAGCTGGCCTTTAAGGCAAATCGTCGGCTTTCGAAACTAGAAGGGATCAGCTTCTGTACGTAAAAGTCTCCAGACGAGCCATTTACTTGGGTAAAAACAAGGCTGTTTTTGAGTCTAATTCCCATGCTCGTTACATTGTAACGGTCCATGCTTGGAGATATGGGGAAGTGGTATTGTCCCTCGGTCCGACAGTGGCTCCGCATATAAACTCTGGACTCCATATGTCATTCGATTGTCTTGATTCCCCAAACCACCTTATGTAGTGGTCTCTATTGGCATTTGTTAATCATACCAAACCGTCAGCCTCGATTCTAAAACTCTTCGCGAAGAAAGCATAATTCATTAGTGCCATCTGCCAAGCGTCTCTTCTATTGAGCATACGTCACTAGAACCTCAACACCATGGTTCTCTAGGAAGAAAGACTGTCGATCTCCCCACACAAACTCCGCAAATCTCCGAATTCCCAGGTTCAACCCATCTTTTCAAGGCCTGAACGTCCAATTCTCAGGTGTTCTTTGACGCCGTGGTATCGCCGAGTTTAGTTCAAGTGAAGCTTCTTGGGCTTCTCATGACGATGTTACCCTTCCCCTCACTATTTGTCGGGGCGACAGCAGTTGGTATGGTACGTTGTGATGGGCATATATAGTTTCAGTGGCTCCACGATTTTGAGGTTCACCTGCATGTAACCGTTGCAGAGTACATCATGAAGTTCTCACTCTTCTTGACGGCTGGCTCTCTTGCCTGGGCCAAGCCATCGACTCCAAAGCTTGACTATAACCGCGCTCCCCCAAATCTCAGCACTCTGGCCAATCTGACCATCTACAACACATGGCGTCCTCGAGCTCACGTACTCCCCCCTACTGGACAGATTGGAGATCCTTGCATGCACTACACTGACCCCAAGACTGGACTCTTCCATGTTGGATATCTCCATGAGGGTGCTTCGGGCGCTACGACGGATGATCTCGTGACATATCGAGATCTCAACCCCGGAGGCGCTCCTTTCATTCGGACAGGAGGTCTAAATGATCCTGTGGCAGTCTTTGACGGATCCGTTATACCCAAGGGCATCAATGGCACGCCTACACTCTTCTACACCTCTGTATCTTACCTCCCCATCCATTGGACCATCAACTACACCCGCGGTAGTGAGACGCAGTCCCTCGCTGTGTCAAAGGATGGAGGCCGCAACTTCACCAAGCTACGACAGGGCCCTGCGATCTCAGCACCTCCTTTTGCTCTCAACGTGACGGCCTTCCGTGATCCCTTCGTTTTCCAGAACGAAGATCTTGACAGCCTTCTGGAAAGCGAGTCAGGGACTTGGTACAGCGTCATTTCTGGTGGTGTCCATCAAAAGGGCCCTAGTATGTTCCTCTATCGTCAGCACGACCCCGAGTTTCAGTATTGGGAGTATCTCGGCGAGTGGTGGCATGAGAAGGCCAACACCACATGGGGTGATGGTCTCTGGGCAGGACGTTACGGTTTCAACTTTGAAGTTGCCAATGTCTTCAGTATTGATGAAAAGGGGTATAACTCTGAGGGCGAGACATTCATCACCTTTGGAGCAGAGTGGCAGGAAAAGCCAATTGTTCCTCAGGTTTCGTCTTTCCGCGACATGCTTTGGGCTGCAGGAAACATATCCCTGGATAACGGGAAGCCAAAGTTTACTCCTTCGATGGTTGGCAAGCTTGACTGGGGACGATCTGCTTACGCCGCGGCTGGCAAATACCTCCCTTCGGACTCAAAGGCATCGTCCAAGAGCGGTGCTCCAGATCGATTCATCAGCTACCTCTGGCTTACTGGGGATTACTACGGCGATCTCAAGTATTTCCCTACTCCCCAGCAGAATTGGACTGGGTCTCTTCTCCTCCCCAGAGAGCTTACAGTCGGCAAGATCAGCAACGTCGTCGATAATGAGCTTTCACGCGAAGAAGGATCCTGGCGTGTTGAGAGAAACGAGTCGGGTGTTTTGGAACTTGCTACTCTAAAGCAGGTCATTGCTCGGGAGCCTATGGCTGCATTCACAAAGAAGACGTCTTTTGTTGAACCGGGCCGAAACATCAGCAAGGCTGGATCAACTACATTCGACCGTAACCCAGAGTCCAAGTTTTACGTCCTCAAGAGCTCTATCTCATTCCCCAAATCTGCCCGCGGCTCGGACCTCAAGGCTGGTTTCCAGATTCTGGCTTCTGAAAAGGAGTCCACCACTATTTACTACCAGTTCTCCAACGAATCTATCATCATAGATCGCAGCAACACTAGTGCTGCAGCCCTTACAACTAGCGACATTGACGCCCGTCCTGAAGCTGGTCGACTCCGTCTTTTTGACGTTCTGGTTGATGATGAGGAGAAGATTGAGACACTTGATCTTACTATTGTCGTGGATAATGCCATCGTTGAGGTCCATGCCAACGATCGATTTGGAGTTGCCACCTGGGCTCGGTAAGTTAGAATATCCCCTGATGCTGTGGTACTTGCTGACTTTTCAGTTCTTGGTATGCCGATTCGACCGACATTCGCTTCTTCCATCAAGGAAGTGGCGAGGTGTCTTTCAGCAATGTGACGATCTATGAGGGTCTTGCGGATGCTTGGCCCGAGAGAAAGCGATAGGGATATAGTCTCTGATTGTATTATTATTACGAACACCCTGCATTAGACTTTGGACCCCATTCTTGTATTTTTACATGACTTCATGTACATAATTTAATGCGGTTGAATTTGCAAGTCGATACATGAACCTATGTGCCTCTCTCTAAAGGGGTTTACTTTCCTTCATCTCACCTTTGGTTAAACGATAACATAATTCGCTGATCTTTTACGCATCAACTAATACACCCCGAAGCCATCTGTGAGCTCGCTACGTTTGGGTGTCGTTGTTGATGAAGAAGTTTGTCAGTGGATGACAATGATTATGTAGGTAGTTGTAGAATGACAAGTGCCAAGAAAACTGTAATGCGAGAGGAGCTTTCGAATACGTTGCTGCTCCTTGATCTCGGGACGTTCGACAGTTGCATGAACTCTCGCTCGGGAATTCGGCGTTGTCTCCATGATGACATTCTCTGAATTCTTCACTTTGTACACCTGGTACACCAACACCACGGACAACATGTACCATGAGTTTGCGTAATAAGATCATCGTGGTGGTGTTGGACGAGATACATGCAGGCTGTCCTACCGATAAGTGAAGTTGAAGCACCAGCTCGGGCATCAGGTAACCTCTTGGGACTGCAATCGAGCTTTTCGACGAGCGACACTTATTCAAGAACGAATGCAAATGCTTTGTGTATCAATCGACGTTTCGCAGCGTTGACAGTAGGTGATGGCAATTCGGCGAAATGGATGATCAGTCTCCAAGCTCGGCCAAATACCTCGCTCTGTGTATGTGTGCACTACACTTGACCTCTGTAACTTTGGGCCTTGCTTCTCCTAGATACCTATCTGGAAGGCTGCTTATCAATACCAAGGATAGCTACATACTGAAAACAATGCCAAGGCTGAGAAGAGAAAGCCGCCGCACAGCAGCAAAGTGGTCTAAAACGGCGAGGTGCAGTGCTGTACCGTGTACGGCATGCAAGGAGGCAAGGAGAGAAAAAGTTGGCTTAATGGAGGTCACTTTGTATCTTTTTCCATTCCAAAGTTTTCAACCGGTCAGTGAAGAACAAGAGCTTTGTGGATCCTGTCTTTGAGATTCCACGATAGTGATTGGTTGGTGAGGCCACCATGATAGGCGCGGCACGGACCCGATACCCGGATCAATCAGGAGGAGCTTGCAGGGCTTGTCACACAAGCTGCTGCAAGGTTTGTATGGTTGTCTGTCAAGGATGGTCTAATAAGGTATGGTATGTACGTACGTAGTCTCATCACGATTCCCCTGCTCTGCATGACTGATCCATAAGGCTTTCAGAGATCGCAAACCCGGGTTAAAGACACTGCATTGCGGCAAAGTCTTTGACCGGTCTGCCACGCTGAATCTCCATATACTCGATTTAGTAACAGGCGACACACCGGTCAGTGCCCAAGCTGACAACAGTTCCTGCTACGGTGATCTGAAGCGTGGGATGAGGGTATGTTGACGTGGAGTTGAACCGCTGCAGCTGGTACACTAAGACCGGCACGGCTCGTTCGTCGCTTTGACTGGTAACTATCCAGTATGTACGGATAGGTATGTCAGGCTCCGTGACTCTTTTGGCTTTGTTGCCGCTTCAATGTGGAAACAAAGCGAGAAAACTACGTTGTCCCCAGGTGTATAGCAAATGCTCAGACAATCGGGGTTGTGCCTACTGCACAATTAGACCGGGCCAGTTCTTTGCAGCTCCCATTTGTGTCACCAGGCCTTGAACATTGCGAGTCTGGCCAGGGTAGTCGAGTCAGACGCCTGCAGTCAGCTTCAGACAAGGCTCGGGCCTGGAGTCGACGATACGACATAAAAATACACCAACAAGTTACAACGGACTGAGGCGAATGCTAGCATCTGCTAGTCGGAATAGACTCATGGAAAAGCAGAAAAGCTCGAAGTGAAAGGCTAGTGACGGTCCTGTTGTTTGCAGGGGTTCGATATGTCATCAGCTTCAAGCCTGGAATAGGCCAGTTTCCCGAGAAAGACGGACGCAGCGGGTTCGGCAGTCAAACTGGAGCGTCAAAGATGCAGTAGCCACTAATAAGTCCTCCGGCACTTTGAGATTGAAGCGCTTGGGGCTTCTGTAAGTTGTTTGTCATCAATTTGAATACACTTTGACCAAAATGTATGGTTACGGACCCGAAGAAGACGCGGTTGCGGTGCACTACTACAGTACTTATCTCCGCTTTCCGAAGGAGCCAACTTTATTCTGTAAATATTGGCCAAATAATTGGGTCAGGAAGCTTATGAATCAAGGGACGTTCGATGTCATCCGGACAGTATTGAAGTTGTGAACCCCTAGATCAGTGTAAGTGAGGTTGGTGGCTGGTTCGGTGATCAGGTATGTAATAGCAGATTGCCCAGGGTCCTGATGTCAGTCGCAAGACGCGGCTAATCCATCCCTTACAATAGCCATGAAAATCCAGAGTACGGAGTATGTACACCAAGATCATCACCAAGCTACTGCATAGTGCCGCACATGTCATGTCATGATATGTAGGGTACCACTTCCCTGTGAACAGTCCCGGTGTAGCCAAAGAACTCAAGACCAATGCGCAAAGACCCCGGTAGTTGATGACTGCAGCTATGAGTGGATGCAGTAGCGATGCTTGATCCAACGTTGGTTCATGTGTAGGGAGATGTCAACTAGCGATCGGGGTTTAGAAAGGAGATGATGTTGATCTTAGCGAGAGTGAAGGACTTGGACGTGTTGTTGCTTTGTTTTATGGAGGTCTGATCTCTGAACTGTGATGAAGACACGAGCTAGGCGACTAGGTAGTGCTGTAGAGCTTGACACTAGGTCACATGTCACCATCTCATCGGGCTTGCTTTAGTGCTTTCGGGGGCTTAGTCCAAGGTACGAGCACCCTTGATAGCGGATGGTCGGTGGAGAGAACTCTAGCTTGTCTAGATCCGGGCTGCTTGGATCCTGGCTAGGGGAGCATTCAAGGAGGTTTTTGCTGGGTAAAGGCTGCTGAAAGCCGGGATCATGGCAGGCTAGGCAGGCTATCACGGTGATCTTCACAGCACGTCCATCCACCAGCAGAGAAAAAAAAGAAACGAAAAGGACGACGTCAAATTTTACAAGCTGTCAGAGACAAACGAGATGAGAAATAAAGGAGGAGAGCACAACAGACAGACAATCCAAGGTCAAAGCCATGGATGGATGCCACGTAGTTACGAGTCCCTTCTTTGTCCTTGGCCCTCCCTCATCAGCCTTTCCCGAGTCTTTTCATTGTCCTTTGCCTGTTATATCGATACAGATCTCATCGACAAATTATATCCTTGAAGATTTCGGCTTTTAGCCAACAAGGCCCTATTGGTCGCCTGTCTTGATCCCCTGAGCTGGATTCTGGACTGGGCTGCCATGCCATGCCCTGCCTCAGCTGGCCTCTGCCTCAAGATGCTGGCTGAAGCTTTCGCTTGACGTGGCCATGTTAAATGTTATCTCAAGAGGACTGACGGTGCCAACAGGGGTTGTTTTCTCATCAACTTTGCCCAAATCTCCTCCTCAAACAGACGCCCAACGATCACGTATAGTTACCGGTCCTGTCGCGTGCCTGCAGACCAAAAAAAACTGCACTTGATGCTCGTGTGCGACATCATCTCAAGCACGACACCTCATCCTGCACATCATCACCAGAAGTGAGAATCCTCTGCGTCACACTCGATTGGTAGGTAGTATTCTCTCTTGTCGTCTCTTTTCGCGTTTCCAAGGCTAAGCACAGGACGTGGTCTTCCTGCTTCGTGTTTATTCCGTCATGGCTGGTCAGCCTCATAGTGATTTTTTCTTTTCTTGTCTCCTCAATCGTTTTGTGGTTGTGTATTACTATTATCCTTGGTGTTGGGCGTCCACCGTCCAGCCAATTTTGCTTCGCTCTCCTCTGCTCTGCTCTGCTTCCCTTTGCTTTTTCCTACCTGGTTCAGCGTGCCAGTAACCTTCAGCCTTTCCAAATCAAGCACTTAGCTTAGTTTACCACAAGGATGCATGCGCGTGTACATATCCGCTGTGATCTTGGTCCCCATTTCTTGACTATCCCCTTGCACATTTGCGCCTAGCAGACAGAACAAGCTCCACGGCCACGAGACGAGCCTCTTATCGACGCCCTCGAAAATGACCTGGACCGCACGCCCCCTTGTTTTCCTTTCTTCTTTGCTTCCATTCCCACTTGTCCCCGTATCCTTGGGCGCACATTCACAGGTCTTCGATTGTCTTCTCCAGGTCAGCCTCGTCAGGCCTCAGTTGACCGATTCGCTATGTGTAGAACGCCTTCAGCATCTCGCCTTTCTACCCGCTCCCGCACCCGTTGCCGTTACCGTTGTCATCCGTCTTAGACTGACGGGAGCCGGCACGGCCCATCTTGAGGTCAGAACGACTTCACACACACCCATCGTGAACTTGAAGTTGGACCCAATGTACCAAATCCCACCCTTTCCAATTCCTCCAAGGGGCTAAGAAAAAGCAAACCCAACTTGGAGCCCCATCTACCAAGCTCCAGGGCCATCCATAGTCTAGTAGTGCGTATTGATGAATAGTACGTACGCTTGCTGCGTAGGTAGCTAGCTAGTTAGTTAGTTGCTTGCTTGCTTTCTTGCCAGCAGAAACTTCAGGTCTTTCTTTTTTGAGGTTTCGCTTGTCAATCCTTCCCACCTCCTCGTCAAAGCACAAGCTCACATAGTGGCTCACATCCTTCATACTAATTATTTATAACTAATTTCTCCTCAATCTACTCTCTTGACCCTTCCTCTCCATGTCCTCTCCGTGACTGTGTTGATCTAATTTACTTGCATTGCAATGCCGTATACTACTCCAGTCTCCTCAAACCTCTGATCCTTGATCATCTGCAACTTAGCCTCACACAAGCTTTTTCTCGTCTACTTGAAGCCTGCATTGCCGCCTCGGTCACCCTTCCCGTTGAACGGCATCTAATCCTATCCTGCCACATCATCGTCCCGGAATCCTGGGCCCAACCTATCTGTTCGCCTTCGTCTTACCTTTCGGGCCTCTCAACTACATCACGCGTTGGGCAACTCTACAGGAAACCTGTTGACGCCCTGTTCTTGGAAAACCTCACACCCAGCGTATTCTGACCCTGTGGCTACGCACAGCTTGGTTCATCTGAACGTATAAAGCTCATCGTTTCCTCCCTTGGTGTTCTCATCAGTCGTCTCAGCTTCAAATTCGTTCTTGAGTAGGCTTCATTCGATCTTTGGTTATTCAGACCTGGTACACCAACCTTGTTCAACTCCAACTCTCTGGTCTCAGAAAAATCAGTGTTCTTACCAACTATCTTACACCAATCTCTATCCTGTTACAAACAGTCCAGAACCAAAATGGAGGTCCAAAATGCCACTCCTACTGGCCCCTGGCAAGATCAGCTCGACAGTATGGAAACCCCCACCCTCCCCTTGGCACAAACTTTCCATTCTGACTACTGATCAGGCGTTTGCCGAGATGCTCAGTTGCGTCCCCCGGTTTTTCAAATTGTGTCAGATCGTCGAGGTATGCCAATCATTAAGATGATTTATATGTTCTGGGCCTGAACTCAAACTCTTATAGGTGGCCGAACTGCATGGTCTAGCAGAGTGACCGTCCATGGCAAAACTCTTGCAGCTCGTTTCTGGTATGACGGCAAGAACCTTAACAATGCTAGAGAAGATGCTGCCGAGTGTGCCGTCAAGTGGTTGACTGGATCTGAATCTAGTTCTCCCACCCAGCAATGGGGTTGGTAGACTTACGATGTGGGGGGCACTCCTTTTTCATATGCTTAACCCGTTCAAGCATCACTGACATCTACGAAAATGGTGGTCTGGCCATTTGTGAACGAAGGAGTTATGTTTCTTGTGTTATTATGATTTCCTTTTAGTCTTCTCTCTTTCGAATCAAGCACCTGGAGTTTGGTAACAAAACTTACGAAACGGGCAAGGTTATGGTCACTACGCTCTCAGTGCTTGGAACAATTGACCCCTTGGTCAAGACCTTGGATTGTATTTTATGGATTGGGTCGGAGGGCGAAAGTCGGATGTTTTCATGTATGACTTGAGGAAAAGGGTAGGATATGTCGGTTATTACAGTTCTTGTTTGGTGTTTGACGGAGTCGGTTACACTGAGGGTCTCTACTAATGAGCTCTCTGTAGAGGTTTAAAAATGCACGTATGACAGCAGACGGAGACTTTTTGAACTATACAGTTTGATTCGATCCTTTGGTATTTGGGATGTTCAGTCATTAATACCTACGTGGAATACCCGAACAAGTTCCTTGCTGTGAGGTCAAGGGGGGTTCATTTCGGGGCCTATCAGCATATCTCGCAGCATTCCTATGCAATGCAGTCAGTGCATCGAGACTTCAAAATTCTCAACGTCGTTCTCTCACATACAGTTCCCTCCTGAAAGGGAAGTTCACCCTCAAGCAATGTTGTGTACCCCCACCCTCGGTACAGCCACGTTCAGTCACAGCGTAGGTTGTACAGCATGAGCAGGTCACACGAAACGGCAGTTTATAAATGCCGACTGGTTTTCTACTCTACTGTCGATCCGGCCTCGGGATTTCACAGCATAGGAATGAGGCTCAGTGCGACCTCACTTGTGTTATGAACACCTACCAAGTATCAGTTGGGTAGCTGAAGTAAGCTGCATGATTTTGATTCTTGACAAGAAGAAAGCATCAATGGCTCCAGAATGTTTTTCATTGAGTTGTTACCATAGCTGTTGTGAGCGGACTGCGCCAGTTTCATGGTCCAATCCAAGCAGCTCAATGTCTTCATATCGCGAGAGTCGAGCTCAAGTTCAGCCACGAGCACCTCCCACGTTCAGAATCACAATACCAGACTACATTCAATTCCCTTTCTAAAATATTGAGTCAATGTGAACTCAAGTTGTTCAATTCTTGTCTCGCTCCCCCAGAGTGTTGTTGATATTGAGGTTCAGATATGGTTATGTAAGCATCAACTCTCGGATTATTGCTTATCCGTCATTCTGGGAATTTTGCATCGCGAATTAGACTAACAGTCGGATCACAAGAGCCACGAGGCTGTTATAATTTCTGCTCCAAGAACGTTGCTAGCAACGCGGAGCTCAGTCATGTCTCCAAGAACGAGTATTTGGGGCGCATGTAGAGCTCTCGCAATTCGATCTAGACCTGTCGCCCCTCGACCAGCCCCATTCATCCAGTCTCTTCCACGCAGCAGATGGTATTCGAGCGAAGGAAACGATCATCCTCCAAAGGCAATTGATAACTCTGAAGAGGCTCAGAACTCCCAGGTTGGCTCAGAATCGAAGGAGGGAGTGTCGGCAGCAGAAAATGGAGAGGTTGAGGTAGGACTTGGTTGAACAAAAGCTTCCGTGTCTCGCAGCTAATGAGCTGCGATATAGGTAACTGCTCCGACGTCCAGTGCCGAAGTTATCGACGATGCGACACTCGAACAATTATTTTTCGGTGGCCGCACACAAACCAGCTCACTTGGGGGTGTTGAGGGTGGCCTGACACCGGCACAGGAGGAGATTCTTTACCGGGAGGGTACTATTCCTTCGGCCGAGAAGGCTGAAGCTCTCGTTGCAGCAGCAGAGAAGTCCGAGTTGGAGGCTACGGACAGCACAGAGATGCAAAACCCAGGACACAAGTTTGGTCTCCCCAAGAGGCCGTGGCCGCAAGGATTCAATCTGAAGAAACGTTATCACCCTGTGTTGGAGCAAATTACCCGACTCCTCATGAGGGACGGTAAGCTCAGTGTTGCTCAACGAGTAAGTTTCGTCCACAAAATGAAAATGGAGGCAATTGGTTAATCCATGAATTAGAATATGGCCATCGTCATGAACTACCTCCGAACTGCACCACCTCCGATCTATAGCCCGAAATACCCTCTACTACCCGGAACTCCACCGGCCTCACATCTCCCTCTCAACCCGATCCTGTACATTACAGTTGCCGTAGATTCGGTGGCCCCTCTTCTCAAAATCCGCAACGTGGCCGGCGCCGGTGGTGGTGGCCGTGCACTTGAACTTCCCGTGCCCCTAGGTGTGAGGCAGAGACGACGAGTAGCGTTCAAGTGGATTCTGGACGTGATCAACAAGAAGCCCTCCAAGGGCAGTGGACGCAAGCAGTTCCCATACAGGATTGCTGAGGAGATCGTTGCAGTTGTTGAGGGGCGTTCGGGTGTGTGGGAAAAGCGAAAGGTGGTGCATAAGCTGGGTACAGCAGCACGAGCTAATGTTGGATCTAACAAGCTCAAGGTCAAGAAGAAGATGTAGATATAGACGAGGTGCAAATGGAACGCCTGGTCCTCTGGATGTATAGTAGATGTGCAAAATATGTAACTATATCAAGATACTGATGAAAAGACGCATTTAACGTTACTGTACGGAGTACCTTGTGCCCAACTTGCCATTCAGGGGAATACACAGACTGTCCCGAATCTCCAAGCTCAACAATGCGGTCTTGTAGCAGAGTTCTGACTGTTTCGGCGCCATTATATGAGTCAAGGCATGGCTTGGGGCTGTGCCAATTCTCTCATTGGCGCCGTCGTATGGTGGGAACGGAAGCCGAAGATATCGGAGGAAACCTCGGTAGCTGCCGAGAGCCCGACCCCGGATCCGGAGTGCAGCGACACCCGAATCGCTTAGAGAGAACGGAATGCTCTGACAAGTACGGAGTATTCTCAGTTCGTAGCGAAATAAAAGTCGCTTAAATTTTGAGTAGTAGACGAGGCTCAGTAAGGCATGGAAACATTCGGTCCTTCTATGCGAAAACTGATTATGCTTACCCAGCAAGATAAATTGATGATTAGGTGCATCCGAACACGACTGAGTTGGGGATTTATGGATCAACAGGGCTGAATATAATTCCGGAGATTCTCTTTACGCAGAGCATCATATGAATAGAAAATCATTCCATTCTCATAGAGCCCCAGATCGAATCCGACGCCGGTGAGAAATCAGTTACCAATGATAAAACATCGATTTTAGAGGTGGCAGAATGATGCTTTCACATGACGACACAATCACTCGATGGTTTGGTCAAGGGAGGCCTCAGTTGGGGTTGAGTATGTCAACTTGAGCTTGAAAACTCTGTTGAATCATCAAAAACAAAGACCTTGTTGGGCTTTCTCATTCTTTCTTCCCCATCATCCAAGCATATCCTTTGGGCCTCTTTAATTTCGGTTGGTGAGTTGATATCGATTAACCTCACGCAGTAGTGGTGACGCCGTCCACTTTTAAAATGCTTTAACCGACGTCTTACGCACATCATTACCATAATGAGGGTTGTCACAGGCACTGACCTTAAAATGCTAGTCGGATCTTTAGTGCCCAACTTCAGGGCGAAAGAAACGGAGGGAAGAAACAGTCCGAGATAGCGTCGATGTTTGGTAAGATTTGTTATGAAGAACGGTAACATATCGAGAGTCATTCACGCCGTTTCTTTACCTTTTTCTCTGAGCTTCCTTCACTTAAGCTTGATAATAAGCCTTCCCAACTGTTTTCATCCGTCTTTACTCCATCCCAGGTGTAGCTGCGTCTACCCCACTAACCCGGTGATCTTCCACACTTCTGTGACGGGATCCAAATTGGGGGTTGCTGCGCCGCTTCGGTCTGGGCTCTGGGCTCAAACACCTCTAAACTCTAGACTCCACGCCACTACTTCCCCAGAGCCTACCTTCCCTACTTCCATAGGTAAGGTAGATCCCACTGCTACTACCACTGCCACTGCCACTACCGCTACGGTACAAGTGCACGTCAACCTTTCTCCTCTCCCCTCTTCTCTTTTCCTCTTCCTCTTCATACTCAGCTTCATTATCCCCGTCACACAACGAAGCAAGAATTACCGCTGCATTGACTCCCGCATAACTGCCTCCGCCGTTCTTTTTGGTATTGCGACCTTGCGAACTCAGAACATTACGCCGCTATTGGGCGCTCACCAGTTTCACCGAGTTGCCTCTGACGTACCGCCCTGAGTTCGAGCACTATCATTTATCCCAACGCTTACCGACATCACCATCGATTATAATCAGCATCGACTCAGAACCAATTTGAGAGACGATACAACATATACGCATTCATTCTTGACCACGCGCAATGCCGCATTGTATCACACTTGCATAGGCATCTCACATCTGCCTACGGAACCCCCACCAGACTATTCATCTTTGTGGGCGCAATCCTCGACACCGTTTGGTTGAGCTCTCGTCGCATCTCACCCTTCTTACAAACATTGTCTACTCTCTGAATAAGAACATCTCGATTCGAATTTGCCGCCATCATGTCGCACAACCAGCAACCCATGAGCATCGAGGCTATGCTCGACATGGAGCGTAAGGAAGTTCTCGCCTTGCTCGAGAATAGACCTCGTCCTGAGTCATCCATGCCAGGAGCCATGCGATCCGCTTCACCCTATGCCACCCCTCGATCTCCCGTTCGGAGTATGTTGGATGTCGACGATCAGCCAACACCAAGCTCGCCGCGGCAGACTGTGCGGAGTATGCTGGACACCAGTTCTCCCCCGCCGTCAAAATACCGAAGCATGTTAGATACTGACACCCCTCTCGCTGGACCCTCGAGGCCTTCCGGGACCAGCACGACTCCTAATTCTCCAGTCATGACCAAAGCGACTCTCGCACCCAGTACCGTCGGACACACTCGCAGCTTCTCTGATGCAGCCTCGAACCCCGTCGATTTTGGACCTAGAGCTGCTGCTGCACGTAATGACCCTACCGCCGGGTATCAATTTTCAGATATTATT